TCTTTCTTTCTTCTACCGATATGGATGATGTATCGCAAATAACAAGGGTAAATGCTTACAAGGAGGAGGTTCCGGGAAGCAATTGGCAAACGCATCTCCAGTGTAACCCGTCGGACAGAGACAGACGGCCATGTGATTAACCACAAGACATTGGGCGCCGATACCGCACGAGCCCGGACATGGGTCTCTGCATTTTTGTCTCAAGCAAGCCTGATTGCTGTTGCACTCGGAATCTACGGTACATTCTGGCCGACAATTCGGAGGACTACCGATGTAATTTTCCAGACACGTGCACGTCGGCACGCCCGAGTAACCGCTATCACGACAAGTGGCAAATGGACCGCAGGGAGACGGAACGCACGGATTTTCTGGCTGAGGGGTATCTTTATCTATGACTGAAATGAATGTAAAACGAATAATTTAGGGCTATACCTGTAAATTTGTATCGTAACTTTACGACACACACACACTTTGATTGAAATTAAATTTGGATATGCAGTGACACATTAAACAATTCGTATTCTCTCAGATTGGTATCTCTCAGCGTACTTACTCGTTTGGAAGCACGTTACGAAGGGATCACCGGTAAAACCTTGATTACAACTACAAATCGGGCTATGATTAATCACTTCGCATCTCGCGTTGATGCCACAAATTCCAGGGCATGGATCAACGCATTTGCGATTCTTGCACGCACGATTTACAGGACAGTCGGAACTGACGGTGCATTCCGCGCGACAATTCGGCGGGGTTCCGATAAATGTGGGTAAACAAGTGCACACAGCTTGACCATTTAATTCGCGACATTGACTATTAAGTCCGCAGGGTGAGGAACTGCATGGATTACGTTCTACAGTTAAAAGAGAAGATTTTAAATTAGATTTCAGGGTGCGATAATTCTAGATGGTTAACAAATAAATGTGATCATTGTGCAAAACTATTAAAAGTTATATTGATAATAATTTGTTTGTGCGTGAAATGTATTTTACAGACGTAATTAATTTCTTTTTAAATGAACGTAAACTGGAAGTTAAGTATCCCGATAAAATGCAAATTAATTATCAGATCAAATTGAACGGCGAGTCTTCTAAGAATTTTCAATTACTTACGCGTATCTTGCACAATTCTGTTACAAGAAACGAATGGATTGCCGCTGTATCCAGGTTGACATGTACACAACGGCGCATGATTTACCACTTGGCAAATTGCGTTATACCCGCAGAAACCTGGACAGGGATTCTGACATTTCGATCCGACACACGCTCGATCTGCGGTACAATCGGAATTTATCGTGCACTCGGGTCGACAGCCTTCATATGGATTGCCTGTATAATCCGCTTGACACGTGCAAGAACCAACACCGTTCGATTCGCGACATATCGCATTAAAACCGCACGGTGATGGAATACAAGGTGTTGGTTTTATAACATCTATAGCAGTGCCTACAAAAAAAATATCAGATTCATTTTCCGTTTTTAAGGCCAAATCAGTCATGATTTTGATAAATCATCGATATAATGATCCCAGAGAATTCAATCACAGATACTAAAAGTTTGCTAAAAGCAAATAATTGCTACAACACTTGATTTAGCACACTTGACTTCGATAAGTACAGCATTGAAGTTGTAATAATAACAATAAATAAATTATTGCTATAAGTTACATGTATATGAAAGTATGACAAAAAAATAATATGTATAAATATAAATAAAATACATAAATAATAATGTAATATTTTCATCTAATTCCAATTAAATTTGATCTTTTAACAAGGATTTGATAATTTAATAAAAATTTATCAAAGCATCGGCAATCAGAAATGTACTCTGTGATTCTACGGTACCACACTGCTTCTTGCACTTACTCTGTTTAGGATTACATAATATAAATGGATCCCCTTCGAATCCGACAAGACAAACGCACATAGGTGTGTGACTTATTACTCGGCAATTAGAATTAATACCGCAGGAGCCTGGGCATGGATCTCGGCACTTTTGATTAATGCACGCTAATTGCGTGGAGCACTCGCTATTGCTAACGCATTCTGGCCTACAATTTGGAGGATCGCCAATAAACTCTGGTAAGCAAGAACACGAATATGCATTGTTTACAACGTCACATCTACTGTTAAGTCCACACGGAGACGGAACGCAAGGGTTAACGGGCGTTGGAAGTTCTGTCGCTGTAGAAGATAAAAAAAAATAGAAAGTGCAATGTTTCTCTAGTAAAATACAAATATCATCTAACTAAGCGATCAATTCTTGATTTTAAATTACTCACGTTTTGGGATGCACTGAGTGAAGGGATCGCCAGTCAATTCGGAGGGACAAGAACAAATCGGGTTGTGATTGACCACAGTACATTGGGCTCTGATGCCACATGTTCCAGGACAGGGGTCTATGCATTTCTGATTATTGCAAGCCATATTGGCGAGACAGTCGGAACTAATAGTACACTCGGCTCGACAATTAGGTGGCGCATCCAAGTATCCACGGAGACACGAGCAGACAGCTTGATCCTTTATCCTTCGGCACTGACTGTTTGGTCCACAGGGTGACGGGTTACATGGATCTTTCGGTATCATATCTGTATAAATGTTAAAAAGAATACAATTACAGGGGAGGGGGGGGATTACAATATCGATCATTATTCGTGACATATCTATTTAATTGCTCGAGTAAGTACCCTGTATCGGGAAGCACTGTATGAACGCGTTGCCAGACATTCTTTGTTCGCAAGTGCAGACTGGTACGTGATTTACGACGGAACACACGGCATTAAGACCGCAAATTCCAAGGCCGCACGGATCTCGACACTTGTTCTTAATGCAAGCCCTGTCTCTCGAACAGTCTGAATTCAAGATACATTCTGGACGACATCCAAAATATGGGTCCCCTTGATACTCGGGTAGGCAACTACATACACCGTTAAAGCATTGCGTATTTGCACCGCAACTTAAGCATGGATCCGTCGGTTTGACTGTTGTCTCTGAGGAAATAATGTTTATCGCTCAGTTTTGTGACAAAGCTGAATTTAAATGAGATAGATAAAGATACATAAAGATACATAATTCTCAGATCTGTCAATTTTTATTTTAAATGATTTTTTTTTAAGTATTTTCCTCTCTATCTTACCTTCCTCGGGAATTGGTCTACACGCTACAAATGGATCCCCAGTAAACCCATTGGGGCAAGAACACGTGGGTGTGTGACGAATGACATTGCAAGTTGCTCCTACTCCGCATACTCCATCGCAAGGATTTCGACACTTTTTCTGTATACACGCCTGACTAGTCGAACATTCCGGATTAACTAAACATTCGGGCCTGCAATTGGGCGGTGTTCCTATATATGACAACAAACAAGCGCAGGACGCTTGGCCGTTAATATCACGGCATTCTGAGTAAGGCCCGCAGGGTGAAGGCGCGCAAGGATTCACAATTGGACGAGGCTCTTCCTCTTTTGCTACAGACATACAAATGTATCCATTACGCACTTTCCATTGAATAATGTTGTAATTTTCAACGTTTTAATTAAAGCTTCCAGAAAAATAAATAAAGAGAAGATACTCATCTGATACGAGAAAAAAAGTTACTAATATTTAAAAGATTTTGTTTTAAAATAAAAAGCTATACAAAGCAAGAAAATATGTTTTCTGAAAAATACATATTTGGAGAAACTTGAGAAAATATCTCTTCGATTTTTGAACAGTTAATTTTGTCCATTTGTTTGTTACGATTTCAATTTACGAAAATTCTTACGTGATTCAAAACAGGCAACAAATGGATCGCCAGTAAAGCCAGGCGGGCATGAGCATATAGGATTGTGATTGATCGTTTCGCATCTCGCATTGGAACCGCACAAGCCAGGACAAGGATTGCTACATTTGTACTTGACGCATGCCAGATTGAAAGCGCATTCGGTACTGATGGTACACTCAGGACGGCAGTTTGGTGGGCTGGCCACCCATTGAAAGTCGGGTAAGCAACTGCAGACGCTCGTGTTTTCTACCACGCGACACACGCTGTTGGGCCCACATGGTGATGGTTCGCAAGGATTACTAACAGCATTTTCCGCTTCTAAAAATTTTACGTTTTACGAACGAATCGCAATTGCGTTTTGCTATTAACCGAACAATTATGATGAACAAGATTCACTCGTACCTATTTCTACCGGAGTGCAATATGAAAAAGCATCGCCGGTGTATCTGGGATAACAACTGCATACCGGCAAATGATTTATCACCTGACATAACGCATTGCGTCCACACGTTCCCGGACACGGGTCTCTACATTTCAGGTTTATACAAGCCAAATTGGCGGGGCAATCCGAATTTAAGACGCACTCTGGTCTACATCCTTCGTACGGATTGCCGGTGTAATTTGGCAAGCATGTACACGAACCGGCACCGTTGAACTCCTTGCACACTGCATTAGAGCCGCAAGGAGAGGGTGTGCAGGGATCAACAGGCGCAGGCGGTAATGGCGTGGCTAAAAGATGATCATCAATGAACATGAAGTTTACAACGAAAAATAAAGATATACATTTTCTTGTATAAATTAGATATTAAAATTAATATAATTACGATGACTTTTTATTTTAACAGAAGACACAGGGAAATGATTTCTACGTTTCTACAACGTGACAACGATGATGCTTTTTTTTTTTATCTTTTTAATGTAATATGGACTTTCTTGTAGCTGCGGCAGGGATATTTAGCAAGTCACCGAAATTATATCAGTTTTAATTCTCAGTACTTACGTTCTCTTAAGATGCATTGCGTGAATGGATCACCGGTGTAACCGTTCACGCAAGAACACATAGGAGTGTGACTGACAACGTGACAATTAGCGTTCGCACCGCAAGAACCAACGCACGGGTCCTGACATTTCTTATTAATACAGGCTAAATGATTAGAACACTCGCTGTTACTGACGCATTCCGCTCTGCAATTAGGCGGACTGCCGATAAAGTCAGGTAAACATGTGCATATAGATTCGTCATCACGAGGTCGGCATTGCGAGTTGGGGCCGCATGGACTTGGCTGACATGGCGTGGGACGTGAAACAGGTGTTTCGGCTAAAAGGGCAAAGTTCGATGTAGAGAAAGAGAACAAGAATTTTCTTGAAACTTGTTTGAAATCTCGCCATATACACGGCCATATACACGGATGTAACAAGCAGTACTTACGTGGTGATAAATAACATCTAACAAATGGATCGCCCGTTTGAGAGAGTGGACAAACGCAAATTGGGTTGTGATTTACTACATTACACGATGCGCCTAATCCGCAACTTCCAGGACAAGGGTTCGTACACTTTTGGTTGCTACAAGCCTCATTCTGCGGGCAATCCGTGCTGACTATGCACTCGGGTCTGCAGGTCGGAGGGCTACCTAGATATCCTCTTACACAGGAGCAGACCGCTTGATTATTTATAACACGGCACTCGCTATTTGGTCCGCAGGGTGAAGGGGCACATGGATTAGCGGGTGGCATATCTGGGACACAAAAATAATGAATACATAATTCCCGGAAATTATTTAGAAAAAAGTACATAGTTACTTTATATGATTTCAAGTACGGGGGACAGATATGGTACTTATCGTAAATGATAGGACGTATACCTTGTAAGGGTGTGCACTGGCTAAATGCATTGCCGGTCATATTCCCGGGACAACTGCACATGGGAACGTGAGCGATCACGGTGCATAACGCGTTAATGCCGCAAGCTCCGGGGCATGGGTCCATACATTTGTTACGTATGCACGCTCTATCGCGGGGACAATCCGCGTTCAGGACACATTCCGGTCGGCAACCTATATTGGGATCTCCTCGGAACTCCGGTAGACAGGTACAGATACCGTTAAAGCATTGCGCGTTAGGACCGCAGGGTGATGGAACGCAGGCATCTTCGACCGGGGATGGAGTCGCTGTAAAATATAATCGGTAGAGGAATTAACGGGTTCGAGTCGCTCTTCGAGTTCTGAGATTTTGAATTATTCTTTGGATGGTTTCTTCGATGGACGCTTACGTGTCACTGGTAATAATTCGCAAAGGGCAAAGGTATTTCCGGTATATCCTTCGGGACATCTGCACGTAGGAATGTGATTAATGACCGAACATAGGGCATTGGTGCCGCACGAGCCGGGACATGGATCCACACACTTCATATTAATGCAGGCCTTATCACTGGGGCATTCCGAGTGTATGGTACATTCGGGTCGGCAATTGGGCGGCTGACCCATGTAATTCTCCAGACAGGTACATGCGGGAGAGCCACCGATATTTCTGCATTGGGAGAAACTACCGCATGGGGATGGTACGCAAGGGTCTTTCTGTACTAGCGGTGGCGTTACAGCGGCTGAAAGATATTTAATAAAGTTTATGGTTGATAATTATGCGACACAAGAATAAAGGACACATATTGAGAGATCGGGTTAATATAGTCTTTCATGCATCCGATGTGGCCTTACGTGGTATTGACATGCATATAGTAAACGGATCTCCGCTGTAACCGGTCATACAACTGCAGATGGGGCTGTGATTAACGACTACGCAATTGGTATTGAGTCCGCATGGGCTTGGGCAGGGATTCACACATTTGTAGTCCTTGCACGCTAACTGCGAGGGGCACTCTGAGCTAGCGACACATTCGGGTCTACATGCAGGTGGAGATCCAATATACGATGGTAGGCATGAACAGACAGCTTGTCCGGACACTTCTTTGCATTTGCTGTTGAGTCCACAGGGTGATGGGGCGCAAACGTTTTCATCTGAGATTATTTCTAGGAAAAATTTAATGCATTAGTATAATTCATGTAGATAAGTATGTAAGCGTCCATAACAATTTTTAATCAATTTGTTTTTATATATTTTTTTTAAACCGTGTAATATCACAAATGTAAAATAATATTAAAATATAAAAAAATGTCTTAAATCTTTCAAATTTCAAATTTTCTTTCTCACATATATTCAAACCAAAATTTTAGAATAAAAAATATTAATCGATGTAATATTTAATCTATACTTTAATATATATGATTATACAACAAAATTAGCAAAAAACTGAAAAAAGATATATGTAATATGTAATTCTTCCTTGCAAATTCAGTATTTTATATTATCTTATAAAATGTTTCCAGAGTTCGTTTACGAGGACACTTACTATCTACGGAACAAGTAACGAAGGGATCTCCAATATATCCGGGGAAACACGTGCAGATCGGTTGATGATTGACAACCGAGCACTCGGCATTCTGGCCGCACATACCGGCGCAGGGATTGACGCATTTGTTTCTTACGCACATCAAATTGGACGGGCAATCGGGATTAATGACGCATTCGGGTCGACACGCTAAATACGGGTTGCCGACATAATTAGAGATACACTGACAAATTGCGACACCATCTCGCTCTCTACATATCGCGTTCGCACCGCATTCAAAGATTGCGCAGGGTGATCGTTCTGGTTCCACCTCCACTGGGCGTGCTAAAACAATATAAAAGATAAACGGATTAAGCAACGTCGCGGAAATGCAAGTCCGGTCTTTCTCGTAGTTTTATACAAAAGGGCTCTATCCCTTACGTATCGCAGAGCAGCGCGTGTATGGATCACCGGTGAGACCATAGGAACAGACGCAATGGGGCACGTGTTGTACTACATGGCACTCCGCACTCTCCCCGCATAAACCTGGACAGGGGTCTCTGCACTTTTGTCGCACGCAACTTTGGTGGCTGGGGCACTCGGGATTGGAGATGCATTCTGGTCGACAGTACGGGGGTGAGCCTCTGTACTCGGGTAGACAGGAGCAGGACGGCAAATCGTTAACGACCTGGCACTGAGCGTACGGACCGCAAGGTGAAGGTTGACAAGGGTTTACTACTACAGGCGCTACTGGTTCTGGACAAGGTAACAATCATATTTTGGTTTGGTTAGTCTAATGATTAAATGCTGGGATTTATGCAGTACGTTTCCAATAAGGTAATCTTACTCATGACGTCACATCTGATAAACGGATCGCCTGTGTATTGTTCGGGACACGAGCAGACAGGGTTGTGATTGACGACCACGCATCTTGCTTGGATGCCGCATGTACCGGGGCAAGGGTCCTTGCATTTTTGATTAGCGCAAGCTTCGTTTGGTCGACAGTCGGAACTAAGGGTACACTCGGGTCGACAGAGGGGTGGCGATCCGAGGAATTCTGGCGCACAAGTGCACACGGCTTGTTCATTCACTTCTCGACATATACTGTTCGGACCGCAAGGATTCGGGCTGCATGGTCTTGCCACGGATGGAACTATATATACGATAAGGCAAGACAGCGATTAGTATATTCTCGAACAGGCGAATCAAGTTTTCTCGTTTCAGATATTATACCTCTCATTATATCGCAAGAAATAAACGCGTTTCCAGTGGTACCGGGGGGACAACTGCACATTGGTGTGTGATTTATCACAATGCACAAACTGTTTTGTCCGCAGGTGCCTGGACAAGGGTCGACACATTTATTTCGTATACACGCCCTATCGGTTGAACAATCTGCACTGAGTACGCACTCCGGTCGACAGCCAACGTATGGGTCGCCAAAGTATTCAGATAAACAAGTGCAAATGCCATTGTTGCATTGAGCGTTTGGTCCACAGGGTGATTTACTGCAGGGATCAGGGGCCTGCGTTGGTTCGTCATCTACATCGTAACAATTATCAATTTAGATCAAGTTTTGATAAAACGAAGCAAGAAATCAAGGAAAGTTGAGATATATAACTTACATATTGGCACAGGCTGGCAACCGATAAACGGATCACCAGTATAACTTTCTATACACCTGCAAATTGGAATGTGATTGTGAACAGTGCAATCGGCGTTTAGGCCGCAAGAACCTGGACAGGGATCTTGACATCTCTCGCGAATGCATGCCTGATTGCTCGGGCAGTCGGCAGGAATGACACATTCGGGGCGACAATTTGGTGGTGTACCAATATAATTAATCATGCAAGAACATGATGGATAACCATTGGTATTGCGGCATTGCGAGTTTGGTCCGCATGGAGAGGGTATGCAAGGGTCCGAAGGTGGACTCGGTAAGATCGGAGTGGCTAAAATTTAAAATAAAATCTCTAAATCTTGAGGACAAAATTATTAAAAGGTTTGTTAAATAAAATTTAATTATGCAATTATTTTTTTCAATTAAAGATGTAAAGTATTACGATCTCAGGTAATATTTTAACATTTTCAGAGATATAATCTTACTATTTCATATAATAAAAATTTCAAATAAAACAAAAAAACATACTTTTGTGTAAAGATAGTTGTATCTAGGAAAAGGGATCTAAGAATATAAAATATTGATATGTTGAAAAAAAAAAATAACAAAAAGACAACTAAACTAAATCAAAAATTATTATATATATAAAATTCATTCCGCTTACGTGGTACGAATGAGCAGCGTACGAATGGATCACCACTGAATCCAGGTTTGCACATGCATATTGGACTGTGATTTACGACTCTACACGTCGTGCCCTGACCGCACGAATTGGGACAGGGATCGACGCATTTGTTGTTCTCGCAAGCGCGATTTGTCGCGCATTCTGTGCTAACTGTGCATTCGGGTTTACAGCCGGGCGGTGCGCCAATGTAAGTCGGCAGGCAAGAACAAACAGCTTGGCCGTTGCTTGCTCTGCACTGACTATACGGTCCGCAAGGAGATGGTTGACAAGGATTTCTCGTCTCTTCTACAACCGCTAGAAAAAGATGGGATATTTAGATACGTAATTGAACACGCGACGGACACGCGAACGGGCTTTAAGCGATCTCTTACGAGCTTCAACGATGGGGTTGCAGAATATGAATGGATTTCCCGTGTATCGCTCGAAACAAGTGCAAGTTGGTACGTGATTAATCACGTAGCACTGCGCGTTTTGACCGCACGTTCCCGGACAGGGATCCTTGCATTTCAATCCGATACACGCCTGATTGGACGGACAGTCGGAATTGAGGGTGCACTCGGGTCTGCATCCCTCGTAAGGATTGCCGATGTAATCAGAGACGCATGAGCAAGAACCAGCATTTTGCTGAACTCTACATACTGCATTTGCACCACACGGAGATGGTGTGCACGGCGTAGATACGCCGCCAGATTGTATTTCGACTATAGAATAAAAAGTAGAATGGCAATTAAATATATCCCTTTTTAAAAAAAGACTCACTTATAATGATAAATTATAATCTGATTATATAATAGTGCAAAATTAATTTTTTCATGAGAAATTTCATGAGAAACAGATTGCGCGAGGTCAAATAAAAATTGAAGTAAATCAAACTTTTTAAATATCTGAATTATTTTTTAAAATCCTCTTACATTGTTGCGGAGAACACTGCGTAAATGGATCGCCGGTGTAACCAGGGGTGCACGCGCACATCGGCGTATGGCTAACAACATTACAAACGGCATTAATGCCGCATGCGTTGACGCACGGATCACGACACTTTTGATTAATGCAAGCCATTTTGTTCGAGCACTCGCTATTGCTGATACACTCGTATCGACAGTTCGGGGGTGCTCCGATAAATTCTTGCAGGCACGAGCAAGAGGGTTGATCATTGATCACTTGGCATTGCGCGTTCGGTCCACATGGTGACGGTTGGCAAGGATCGAGTACAGGCAACGGTTCCTCAGCTTTAAAGGTAATACCGATTAATTAATCGAAACACATTAAATTTTTATTTATGTCACGTCCAAAATAATAGTTCGCGGATGGGAATTTGCGTGTAAAAAAATTAATATCGGAGAATATTTTAAAAAGAATGAAAAAAAGTAAAGTTCTTACGAAGTGGGAAGCAATTAATAAACGGATCCCCAGTCATCCCGGAACGGCAGACGCAAACTGGATTGTGATTAATAACGTTGCAGATTGCATTACGTCCGCAACTTCCAGGACAAGGATCCTGACATTTTTGATTAGTGCACGCCTGGTTCTTCGGGCAATCGGAACTAATTACACACTCAGGCCTGCAAGTCGGGGGCGCGCCGACGAATCCAGTTATACAACTACATACAGCCTGCATATTATTTTGTCGGCACTGACCGTTCGGGCCACACGGAGACGGGTTACATGGATTGCTAATGGGCGGTGCTACAAGAAAAGATTTTAATTACAGAATAAAAATTTTAACGCGTGTTGCGAACGCGAATATTTAAGAATTGAATAAAATCGTAGATATCCGACGCGCGCGGCAATTAAAATACCTGGTACAGGAGAACATAGGACAAAAGCATTCCCATCCATTCCTGAGGGACAACTACACATGGGAACATGATTGTATACATTGCACACAGCGTTTTGGCCGCAAACACCTGGGCAAGGATCCACGCATTTATTTCGCACGCACGCCTGCGTGTTCGGGCAATCGTTATTTAATACGCATTCCGGCCGACAGCCTCTGTAAGGATCTCCGAAATATTCCGCTATGCAAACGCAAATTCCCGCATTGCATTGCGCGTTGGGTCCGCAAGGCGAAGGTGTGCATGGATCCGGCTTGGATGGGACAACAGCTGCAAATAATTTCGCGTATAAAGAAGATCGAATACATTGGGGCAAGAAGTACCAGAATTATAATCATATAAATTCTCGTAAGAAAATCTTACGTGGACTTAAGGAACACTGAATGAAAGGGTCGCCAGTGTGATCGGGCAAACATGAACAAATCGGCACGTGATTTACAACACTGCATTCAGCCATAAAGCCGCACGAGCCTGGACAGGGATCTCTACATCTTTGCTGCATGCAAGCCATATTAGCTGGACATTCCGCATTGATCGTACATTCCGGTTTACAATTTGGCGGACTGCCTCTGTATGTTGGTAAGCAAGAACACGATGGCACTCCTCCTGTATCGCGACATTCGGAAAACGCGCCACAAGGTGACGGTATGCATGGATCTCTGACGTCACTTACAATGGGTGGGCTCACTGCGATACAATTAATGAGAATAACGTGAAAACTATAAAATTAAAATTATTAAAATTGAATTGATTGCCCAATCTCGATATAGCATTCGTGTAAATATTAATCAAATATTAATCAAAGGCGAAAAATATTCTTCTATTTCTTTTCATTATACAAGAAGTTAAATATTTCAAGTGTCATGTTAACAAATATCATGTTTGTCAATTCGAGAAAGATTAATCGAATAAAGTGATCAGTAAAGATGAACACTTTATCGAGATTCGAACGTGTTTAAATAATTGTATTCATAAAAAAAATAAATGCAAAGAATATTAGATGAAAGTTGGAAATCGTACCAGGTGTCTGGAAGCAAATGGTAAATGGATCACCGGTAAAGCCGTTCTTGCAAGAACAAATCGGATTATGTTTGATGACTCTGCAATTAGAATTTCTGCCGCAGGAACCGGGGCAGGGGTCTTGGCATTTTTGATTCAAGCAGGCAAGATTGAGAGAACAATCTGAGCTTGTCACGCATTCAGGGCGACATGCGGGTGGGCTACCAATAAAAATCGGTAAACAAGAACAGACCGCTTGATTGTTATTAACACGACATTGGCTGTTGGGTCCACAAGGCGACGGATTGCAAACATCCTTCGGGGTTTCGACTAGAATGATAGATAAATTTTTCAAATTTTTGGCCTTAGGAAAAGAAGGATTATTTAAAACCATAAATAATTTATAAAAATGTTAAAACCTAATTATGTGCTCATTAACATACATTTAAAAAATGAATTTAAAACAAAAAAGTATAATATTACGTTATTGTATAAATATTGTCAGAATTACTCAAACATATAGGATAAAAATTTAAAACAAATATAAGAGAATTAAAGTTGCTCAATGTTCAAAAAAATATTTCGTACCGATATCGCGAATTATAGTGCAGTATTGGAAAGGATTGCCGCTATAACCGGGAATACACGTGCAAGAGGGTCGGTGATTAATAACTTGGCATTCGGCAAATTGTCCGCAAACGCCAGGACATGGATCTCTGCATTTGGATTGTATGCAAGCAAGAATCGATATGCAATCCGTATCAACCACGCATTCCGGTCGACATCCTTCATAAGGATTGCCGACATAATCGGCAAGGCAAGAACAGGATCCGGCACCGAATTGCTCCTTACAAACGGCATTAAAGCCACAAGGCGATGGTTTACACGGCGATACTGCGATTGGCGTAGCTGAAAGTATAATATAAACTAGGAAAATCATGTCAAACAATTTAATTTTTAAACGTAAATTTTTTAACGTACGTTTGAAAGTTTTGAAATATGATTCTATAATCGACTCGAAAACTAACATGACTTTCGTTCGAATCTAAACATAATTTTTAATTCTGTCTACATATAAAATTGATGCTTACGTGGCTTCATTGTACATTGCGTAAATGGATCGCCGGTGAAATCGCTAGGACAAACACACATGGGTGTGTGACTCACTACGCGGCATTCGGCATTAGCTCCACAAGAGCCTTCACAAGGATCCCTACATTTCTGATTCACGCACGCCAAATGGGCAGGACATTCGCTATTGCTAATGCACTCCGGTCTACAGTACGGTGGCGAACCCAAAAATCCAGCTAGACACGAACACGAAGGAGCATCGCCTACAACCCGACACTCGGCGTTCGCTCCACAAGGAGACGGTACACAGGGGTTTGTTTGCTGCACGGGTTCGGGCGCTAATGAAGAGAAAAATTGTTGTCGAATAAAAAAATGTACAATTAAATGAAAATTTACAATCTCTGAAAAAATGAAATTGAAATGCACAATTGTACAAAATGAAATTGAAATGAAAAATGTACAATTAAATGAAAATTTACAATCTCTGAAAAAATGAAATTGAAATTGAAATGGATTACTCGAAATGTTAGATAACATAAAATTAAATATATTCACAACAAAATTCGTTTACAAATTTTTAAAAACATTTTTTTATGAAATAAATAAGGCTGTGAATAAAACTGTCTTCAATTTTGTCTTTCGTAAAAGCATTAATAGAAATCATCAAGGGGAAATCAATAATGATGCCGTAGTAATGATTTCTCGTAGTTGATATTCGTTCTTACGTCGTGGAATACATCGAATGAATGGATCTCCAGTAAGTTCTCCACAACTACATATGGGGTTGTGATTGATCACTTGACACGTGGCTCGAATCCCGCATGCGCCGAGGCAAGGGTTTATGCATTTTTGATTGCTGCACGCTTCTGTCAGAAGACAATCGGAACTGACAGTGCATTCCGGTCTGCATGCTGGCGGCACCCCGAGGAATCCCGCCACGCACGAGCACACAGGCTGCCCGTTATTTTCCCGGCAAAGACTGTTGGGCCCGCAGGGCGAGGGTGAACAGGGATCTCCCTTCGGGATATCTGTATTCGATACGACAGCAATCTTACACTTTGCTCTCAAAAAGTAACGTAAGCAACGTCAATAACGATAATGAAATAGAAGACTGCGATTTGATAAATTGATTAAATAAGGGAGCATTTATGTTTTGTCATCGGAAAGGCTAAATCTACGATTATCATTATCGATAAGCATTCCTATCGTAAAAATTATAGATCGGTCGAATCGATTGTACCTTCGACGATGGAACATTGAACGAAGGCATTGCCAGTCATTCCGGCTGGACAAGTACACATAGGTATGTGATTATATACGGAGCACAGCGCGTTTCGACCGCATGTGCCCGGACAGGGATCCACACATCTGTTACGCACGCACGCACGAACGTGGGCGCAATCGGTATTCATCACGCATTCGGGACGGCAACCCACGTAGGGATCACCCTGATACTCAGGTAAACATATGCAGATGCCATTGTTGCATCGTGCATTCGGTCCACAAGGGTTCAAACTGCAAGGATCGATAACCGCAGGTGCCGCTGTAAAAGAATCAGGAAACGGATCAGGAAACGCCGTAATGAAGTCCAGAACGAAATTTCACAAAATGTGTAACGCATAAGTTTCTTTCGCGCAACATCTTGGACATTAAATTGGCATACTTTCATCTCTGATGCGAATTAAATATCTCATTAATTTAAATGTTGGATAACAATAATCATAGTAGAACAATTTAAAATAAAACTTTTCCAAAGAGAAGAAATTTTGAAAATCTGCAACATACATATCTAATAAAGTTTTGACCAGACAAAACAACATTTGCAAACGAAAATTAAATTAAATAATTAAATAATGTATCCAAGGAGCGTAAAGAACCATCGTGCGTTATAATTCGCGAAATTTTCCTTCGAGACGTAATCTTTCGTAACTTTCAGGGAGAAGGGAGTCTCTTACTTGTCGGTCTTGGATAACAATTGCTAAAGGGATCGCCGGTATATCCCTCGGGACAGGTGCACACGGGTACGTGATTATAAACTGTGCACAATGAGGTGATGCTGCAGGAGCCTAAACAGGGATCTCTGCATCTCTCGTTGCTGCAGGCAAGGTTCATCGAGCATTCGGAATTCACGCGGCATTCGGGACGACAATTTGGCGGTGATCCTCTGTAAGTTGGCAAACAGGAGCACGATGGTGTGCCACCGATATTCCTGCATTCCGCGTATGTGCCGCACGGAGAGGGCACGCAGGGATCTTTGGGGGCTATGGGAAATTCTATCGGTGCTGAAATTCAATAGTAAAAGTGGCGTAACAGATTTATTACGCGCCATTTGTCCTGAGAGATTTTGGGCGATAAATCAATTTATGAGAGAATAGCATGATAAAATGATGAAATGTCTGTTATGCGATGTGTATCTCATCAATATTGTGAGGATTGATATGGTGATATGATCAAGCCATGATTGAATTATCTATCAATAAAATCTACCGTGAACTTAGAGCATAAGATGGATGAATAAGGCCGATCAAGTTATGAATGAACGAAGCTGATGAGAGAGATAAAGTTCTTACGTGGGGGGCGGGGAAACATCTTGTAAAGGGATCTCCGGTATAACCAAGATTGCAGATGCAGATGGGACTGTGACTGATCACTTTACACTGTGTGTTTATTCCACATGAGTCCGGGCAGGGCGATACACACTTCTGATTGACGCAAGCAAGATCCAGAGAGCATTGGCTGTTCACCACGCATTCGGCTCGACAATTGGGAGGGTTGCCCATAAAATTCGGGAGACAGGTACAAACGGCGACGCCGTTTACGTTTCGGCATTTACTGTTTGGTCCACAGGGGGATGGGCTGCATGGGTCTGTTTCTGACAGAGCTGTGTGGAGAAAAGTGTCATTACATACAAGTCATTTCCTACAGATTATTCTGGACAAAAATATCGTCTTCGTGTATAAACTTATACTTTTCAATGGTATAAATTTTAATTCGTATTAAAAATTATATTAAAAATTTGGTGTACTAATTATTTAATCAAAAATATGATAAATAATCTTGTAATAAAATGGCAATATAAATATTTAAAACTATTTTAAATAGTAAGATTAAAATAAAAAAGTTGAATGTTTAATCGACAATTAATTGAATTTTTAATTAATCTAAACGTTTCTAGCATAATTCTGTATATAAGGATATGCTAAAGTATACTATTAAAAATCAGATCATTGTAAAATGCAATAAATAAAATATCTGACATAAGACAGCTTACGAGTTTCAATTATCGGGGAACAGTACGTGAAAGGGTTGCCGGTATAACCGGGGATGCAAGTACAAATCGGCAGATGATTAACTGATTGGCATTGGGCATTCACTCCGCATGTTCCTGGGCAAGGGTCTGTGCATTTCAAGTCCACGCACGCCATTCTTGTTAAACAATCGGAATTTTGCGTGCACTCGGGTCTGCATTCTTGATAAGGGTCACCTAGGTAATCCGGCAAACAGGTGCACGAGCCAACGCCATTGCTCTCACGGCAGACGGCATTGAGGCCACAAGGGGAAGGCTCGCATGGTTTTCTAATATCTAGTGGTATATCTAATGGAAAGAAAAATTTCGCTTTAACTTAATCCAACGTTCTAGGCGTTCTTTTCCAAAGCTACGGCTAGGTCAAGGGATTTTCTGATTTTCATCAATTCTCCCTCCCATTTCGAATTATAAATCAAGTTCCTAACAAGCAACAAGCTTCATATGGTAGTGCGATGTAACAGCTTTGCGTGGTTGAATTATCATCATTTGACGAATATCCTTAAGGATCTATCAGTTTTAGTGGATAATATATCTTCTACCAGCGATCATTTTATCAAGCGTGTTCAATTTTCCATTCAAATTAATTAATCGAGTTAATTATTAAGTGCGGGACACGGTGATTGATGACATTATTCTTTCGGGGATGGGACAACTATCCTTTGGGATCTACATCTAATAAGTGCTTTTCATCAGGGTTTATTAAGATTATGTTTTTTTTTTTAGAGATTACACTGCATTTGCATGTTTATGTTATTGGCCTATTCGGGAATGGTTTGTGCAGCATGATTATTGGGAGGTCCACAGCATATGTCAAAAGTCAGAGTGCTCTTATATGTAAGTGGGTCCTTAACAAATTTTCGTCTCGGTAGGTCAGTGCGTGCAATGAACATTTCAACAATTAATCGCAGGGCTTAGAATTCCATTGCTTAGTTATTGCGAGTGTTTATTAGGGATGAGTGCAGTCAAGAGCCTATTGGGCATATAGGCCCCGTCACCAATTTTGTGCCTGTCTATCATTATTGTTTCCTTGCATTAGGGTCAGTACGCTCAGTAGGCATGGGGACGAGTGCGTGAGGATGAGTGCCGCATTGTTTCTTTTGTTAGGGACTCGTGACATGTATGTAATTCTATGTTATTGACTTTTAATCGGGGATGAGTGCAATTATGAGCCTAATATTTATAGGCCCCTCCACCTCGCACGTGGCTTATTGTGTCATCTGTTAGAGATCTCTTTATGATTGTATGCTATTATCGTGCGCATATTCTCGCATTAATCTTTAATATTTCGACGGTTCTTGTTAGAACCTAACAAGTTTCAATCGGATGCGATTTCTATAGAACTATATAAGCATATGTCTAATCAATAACGGGACAGGACGGTGATAATTATTTTCCAAACCTCTTCAGCTGATCTTGAAAGCAGTCAATATTCAATCTAATATCTTGGACAATCTTTTGGAAAAGATTTTAATCAGTTATGAAACCTTTAATTGATGTTAATTTGAGCGATTTTAATCAACTGTTAACTTGACAGAGAAGAGCTCTTGAATTACCGTCTTGACTTATTATCATTAGTCATATCGTATGGGGATGGAAGCACTTACCTGTCGCGCCCGCATGCAAACGGCGACATTTGCGGAAGGGATCGTAAGAAAATGAAATAAAAGACAACGAAGGCGTACTCACCCTCGGGTACTCGTTCGCAAGCGCTGAATGGATTTCCGGTGTATCCGGCGATGCACGCACAAACCGCATGGTGATTCACTACCGAACACTGAGCGTTCAGACCGCACAGACCGACGCACGGATCGCGGCACTTTTGTTGCATACACGCCAACTGCGGCGGACACTCGGGATTGATCGTACACTCGGGTCGGCAATTCGGCGGCAAACCGACGTAATTTTCGATACACGAACACGCGGGACTATCACCCCTCACTTGACATTCCGCATTCGGACCGCAGGGCGATGGCAGACACGGGTTCATCGGCGCGGGTGGTGTTTCTGCAAACGAATATTCGAATGAAAAAATTTTGCATTTAACAACAAGAATAATTAAAATGTAACAATTATCCAGAAAACTAATTCTCTACATAATTAATGTAAAAGTTAAAATTAATTCTACTAATAAAAGGAGTTTCTTTAATAATTCGCAATAATAAATCTAATAGATAGTTAATGTTAATTCAAATTTTAAAACCACAAAATTATATCTGATAGAAGAGATTTATTTTAATAATTATTCCAATAATATTTTGACGATCAATATTCAAAGATTTTAACGATTAATTATTTCTGATACAAAATACAATAAAGTGAAATAATAAAGATAGACTCTTCAAACGACTTACTTGGTTGCGGATAACATATGGTGAAAGGATCGCCTGTATAAGATTCAGAACAGCTGCATATTGGATTATGATTAACCACTTGACAATTTGTATTCTGTCCGCACGTGCCTGGGCATGGATCTTGACATTTATTATTCAGACACGCTTGTGTCAATGGACAGTCGGCGCTGACAACGCATTCTGGCTTGCAAGCAGGTGGACTGCCAATTAAACCAGGTTGACATGAACACACAGCATGATCATTCACGACTTTGCAGATGCTATTTGGCCCACAAGGCGAAGGTGTACAAGGCTTAACGGTCTCTGCAAATAAAATGCATTTGATAGTAGATCAGAAACAATAATTATTGATTCAAAGATAAAATTTTCGTATTTCATCAAAAAATTATTCAAAAATATATATAATTTTTGTTTTTTATATAAAACGTATTAAATAAATGATAAAAAGAAAAACTATATATCTAAAATGTTTTAATATTTATATATTAAAATATATAAAAATTAACAATTATATTATTTTATTTTATTCATTATATTATTTCAATGTTTACATACATTTTTATTGAGAAAAAAATTTACACTTACCAACTGGTATATGTGGTCGACACAGAAGGAATGGATTTCCAGTGTAACCAGGCGGACAGCTGCACATTGGGACGTGATTGACAACGTCGCAACGTGCATCACGACCGCACGTACCTGGGCAAGGATCCACGCAGTTTTGATTAATACAAGCTTTGGTACGAGGACAGTCTGAATTCATTGTGCACTCCGGCCGACAGTACGAATACGGATCCCCGAAGTAGTTGGGTAAACATCTACATACACCTTCGTTGCAGTCCGCATTAGGGCCGCAAGGTGACGGATTGCACAAATCTTCGGGTACCTTCGGTTGTTCTGCAACATCGATTTTTCACATTTATGTATAAATAAAGTGACAAGAAAAATCAAAATTTTTTTCTTTATAATATTTTTAAAGATTTATTAAGTATAAAGATTTGTATAAAAATTGCAGTAAATGATTAGATACTAATCAATAATCATTAAGGCCATATTTATATTCTAGTATATTTACTGCATTAAGTTTATATTCAGACTTAGATAAATATTTTTTATAAGAAAATTGATCGAAAATATAATCTCTTTCTTTTTCAACAAAATCATATTTAAAACTTTATCTAATGTGTAAATACGCACCTCTAATTACTGTACACAGACTGAAAGGATCGCCAGAATATCCAGGTTGACATAAACAAATTGGTATGTGATTTTGTACCCGACAATCAGCATTCTGACCGCAGGAGCCAATGCAAGGATCGCGACATTTTTCTGAGATGCAAGCTTGATCCAACGGGCAATCTGTATTAACTATGCACTCTGCGCGACAGTTGGGTGGTATACCTATGTAATTTTTCAAACAAGTACACGCTGCCTGATCATTGACCACTTTACACTCCGCATAGAGCCCACATGGACTTGGGAAACAAGGATCCATCGGTGGTAACGGCACAACTAAAAAAAAATTAATTAAACAGTAATAATATAATTTATCTATACCATTCTCATATGTATAAATAAACAAAGCAAGTGCAAGATAATTACCAGGTTCAGGGAAGCATCTGGAGAAAGGATCGCCCGTCTTTCCTTGCGAACAACTGCAGAGAGGATTGTGATTAATGACACGACAATTAGCTTCGATTCCACACGTGCCGGGGCATGGATCCGTGCATTTGTATTTGTAGCAAGCTCTGTTTTGCGGACATTCCGAATTGACGACACATTCCGGCTTGCAATTCGGCGGAGCGCCCACGAAGGACTCTTGGCATGTACACACGGCTTGATTGTTCACGGCGCGGCAGAAGCTGTTCGGTCCGCAGGGTGAAGGCAAGCATGGATCTCTGACGGTAGGCTCGGTCTCCACCTCCGGTGGTTGAAGGGTGCAAATCGTAAATGGATCCCCGATGTAGCCAGGCTCGCAAGTGCACGTTGGAATGTGATTGATCACGGAACACTGCGCCCGGACGCCGCACACTCCTGGGCAAGGATCCTTGCATTTATTACGGAGGCAAGCCTTGTTTGTGGGACAATCCGCGCTGAGGACGCATTCTGGTTGACAGCCCTCATAAGGATTTCCTTGATAGTCGTCGATGCATATGCAAGCGCCAGCGTTGTCCCGTTGCTGACAGATCGCGTTAGCTCCACACGGCGAAGGTTCACATGGATTTATTGTTTCCTCTACGAAGAAAAACGTTCAATATTTAATAATTTCCAATTGATAATTCAAAAAAATTTAATATTCTAATGAAATATAAAAAAAAATAATTTTGTATAAAGAAATATGACAATTTGATTTTAAAAAAGTGCAATGTAATTAAAAATCAGGACAAATAAACAACGTACCTTCTAATATACATTGCACGAACGGATTGCCCGTGTATCCGATCTTACATGAACAAGTCACTGCGTGATTTACTACTTTACAGTCGGCATTATCCCCGCAGGATCCTGGACAAGGATCTTTACATTTCATATTTATGCAGGACTTTTCCGGTGGGCAGTCAGGATTGATCAAGCATTCTGGCCGACATGATGGTGGAGTGCCGATGTATGTAGGCAGACACGAACACGACGGTTGTCCATTTGCATTCTTACAAAGCGCATTTGGTCCGCATGGCGAAGGATTGCAAGGATCGCCCTGGTCCTTAGGTTCCGGTGGCACTAAAATACAATGTAATACATTTTGTATTTATATTGTCGAATAGGTTTATTTAAAACTATTGCAAATATCTTACATATATTAAAATGTTTAAGATAATTTGATTTAGTAATCGTATATGCAATTGCATACACGAAATAATTTATTTGCAATTGCATTCAGTTTTCTTACGTGGAATGTCATAACAACTTCTAAACGGATCTCCAGTCTGTCCAGGAAGGCAGCTACAGATCGGCGAGTGGTTGATCACCTCGCATCTCGCATTCAGGCCGCACGAACCTAAGCATGGATCTGTGCACTTCTTGTTTACACAGGCCCGCGTTGGCGGACATTCGGAACTAACGAGACATTCCGGTCTGCAAGACGGTGGGGAGCCAAGATAGCCTTGAAGACAAGAGCACACAGCGTGCTCCTCGATGTTGCGACATTGACTGTTTGGTCCGCACGGCGAAGGCGTACACGGATCCCTCTGAGACTCCGGAACTGTGCATGACAAATCAATTTCGCAATTAATACAAACTACGATTTTAAAACGTTCATAAAAACTTAGCAATATGTTTATATAACACTAGGTAAGTAAACGACTTTCCTGGCGTACCTCTAGGCTGAACGCGACAGCTAACGAACGGATCGCCGATGTATCCGGATGGGCAGGAGCAGACGGGAATATGGTTCACTACATCGCATCGTGCGTTTTGACCGCATATTCCGGGACAAGGATCCTTGCATTTGTTCTTCAGACATGTTTTGTCGCGGGCGCATTCTGAATTGAGGATGCATTCAGGGCGACAGGCCTCGTAAGGATTGCCGATGTATTCGGGCAAGCATACGCATTCACCATTCTCACATACGGCGTTCGGCCCACATGGAGATAGAGCGCAAGGGTTCGTGATTGGTAGTTCTGTAACTGTACAAATATATAAAACATTTGCTGTAACTGTACAATAAAACATTTTAAGGGCAAAATATTAAACATAAAATGTTAAATAGTAAAATGTTAAAATTGTTTTGATTTTTCTTTTGATTTTTCACAAAACAACTCATAATGCGCGTTGATTGAATGTTTTATTTACCTCGCGGAATAACGTTGCATTGCGTAAATGGATCTCCACTGAAACCTTCTATACACGTGCAAACTGGCAGATGATTTAATACGTGACATTGAGCGTTTATTCCACACGAGCCTGGGCACGGGTCCGCACACCTCTGATTGACACATGCGAGATGGCTCTTACATTCGGAGCTTAAAATGCACTCCGGTCGACACTGCGGCGGTACGCCAATGTAATTTGGTAAACAGGAACACGCAGGACTGCCAGATATGATTTGACACAAGGAATTAGGACCGCAAGGTGACGGGGTGCAAGATGGTGGTCGGACAGTTATTGGGAATTCGGTAGTGACTGAAAAATAATAATTATATTTATCTTATATTCTTCATTTTTTACATCTAAGAGAAATTCATGCGATTAATTTATATCAATAATATCTTTTTTTGCCAGATGTGAAAATATAATATACTTATGTAGCGATGTAGATAAAAGTCAATCTTATTTGAATTGAATTTTATAAAATATTTATATCGACAGCGATGTTAAAATATATAAAATATATGTAATACTTACCATACGGCGAACACAAAGTGAAAGGATCTCCTGTGAAACCAGCAGGACATGTACAAATCGGATTGTGGTTTTTGGTAGTACACTGCGCTCTCAGTCCACAAGTATTCGGGCAAGGATCTGCGCATTTTTTATTTACACATGCCAGATGAGGTGGACACTCAGCATTAACGATACATTCTGGTCTGCATGATGGTGGTATGCCTCTATATTCTGGTAAACAGGTGCATACAGCTTGATCGTTAACAACTCGGCATTTACTGTTGGGTCCACAAGGCGATGGAGAGCATGGTTCCAGTGTTTCTAGGGAAAATAATATTATTGCTTTCCTCACAACCTTTTAATTATAGTAATGATTTTAAAAAAGTAATTATCTGGCGTGGCTTTTCGACAGTTATCATTATCGCAGTTTACATGCATTATTAATAATAATAATAATAATACATTCGTATCAATAATATTAAATTTAATTTCGTTGATGTAAGTAACGATATTTATTTTATTTATAATTCCAGTATTAAAAATACTTACTTATCACCTCTTCGATTTCGCAAGCGAAATATGGATCTCCCGTATATCCTGGAGGACACAGGCAAACAGGAACGTGCGCTTGTACGTTACAAATGGACAATGTTCCACAAGTATTGGGGCATGGATCTGTACATTTGAAGCCGACACAAGCCAATTGCGGCGCGCAGTCGTTGTTCGTTTCGCATTCTCTGTGACATCCCTTGACAATGTCATAAGGATCACCTATCAGGTCCGGTGGACATCCACAGGCGCCTGCCCCGTTCCTTTCACGACATTGCGCGTTGGGACCACAAGGATTCGGCACACATGGATTCGACACAGGTCTGTCTGTTGCTACAAACGTAATAAAAATTGCATAATAAAAATTTATAAATTTATAATTTAAAAAATTTATAATTTGATACGCAGAGTGTGCTATACGTTTAAATATCTTTTCCGACAATTGATAATTTCTATTTCTACCTGGCGGAGAAGCCGGGACGCAGCGCACAGTGGGATCGCCCTCGTATCCTTCCGGACAGGTGCAAATAGGAACGTGATTCTGCACTGTGCATCTGGCAATCTCGCCGCAGGCGCCAGGGCAGGGATTTTTGCATCTTTGATTGACGCACGCCGCGGAGTTGAGACATTCCGAGTGATCCGTGCATTCAGGTCTGCAATTCGGTGGACGGCCAATGTAGTTCGCCAAGCAGGAACATGCCGGATGCGAGCCTATCACTCTGCACTGCGAGTTCGGACCGCAAGGATTTGGCAAACAAGGATCTCCTTCTCCTTTCGGTAACGGCGATGTGGTGCTAATCTTGCTGCAGTGCACGAAGGGATCGCCGGAGTAGCCGGGGGCGCAGCTGCAGATGGGATTGTGGTTCACCGTGAGGCAGTTTGTGTTCTGTCCGCAGGAGCCGGGACACGGGTCTGCGCACTTGTTATTAATGCACGCTCTGTTCTGTGGACATTCGGAGCTGACGATACAACCCGGTCGACAGGTCGGCGGGACGCCGGAGAATCCCGGTTGACACAGGCACACCGCGTGCCCGTCGTGCGTTCGGCAATTGCTGTTAGGTCCGCACGGTGACGGGTCGCAGGGATCGATCGGTATGGGCAACGGCGTCACGACGTCGACGGGGGCACAGCCGTTCACCGGGTCTCCGGTGTAACCCGGCAGGCAGGTGCACATGGGAGCGTGATTGACGACGCGACACGTGGCACCTGGGCCGCAGGTTCCGGGACATGGATTGACGCACTTATTGTTCAGACAGGCTTTGCTGCGATCGCAGTCGGCGTTGGTCACGCATTCGGGCCTGCAAGCGATGTACGGGTCACCGAAGTACTGCGGCAGACATGTGCAAGATCCAACGCCGTTTCGTTCGTTGCACACCGCGTTGGCGCCGCACGGTGACGGATTGCACGGCGTGCGTGGTTGCTCCGTCGTGATAGGCACTGGAATTAATTACGCATAATTAGATAACGATCGTTAAAACAGAAAGGATCAAGCCTAATAAAGCTAATTGTGCATTTTTCAGTTTACTTTGCAAGATTCTCGCGAGGAAACACCTTACGTACCTTCTACGATGGGTATGCATTCCGTGAACGGATCGCCTGTGTAGCCCTCGTTACAGATGCAGACGGGATTGTGTTTAACCACGTTGCAATATGTGTTCACGCCGCAAGAGCCCGGGCATGGGTCCACGCATTGTTCGTTCTGGCACGCCAGGTTCCCGGGGCATCCTTCGTTTATGACGCACTCGGGACGGCAATTTGGTGCACGGCCCACGTAATTCGGTAGACACGAGCATGCCGGAAATCCATCGATCACCCGACACTGAGAATTTGGCCCGCACGGCGAAGGCACGCATGGATTGCCGCTCGGTTTTGGTATCGGTGTTACTTCTACGATTGCAAATTGATACATTAAGATAATCGCATATTTATTAAATTTTTATCTTTGTATCACTATTTTATTAAACAATCGAAGCGATTGTCCGTAAATATTAAAATACAAATCATTTGAGTGTTCAGAATATCAAAGATAAAAATTGTATGACGATGACTGAATAAAGTGGAAACTTACCTTCCTTAACGCATCCGAAGAACGGATCTCCGCTGTAGCCGATCGTGCAGATGCAGACTGGATTGTGATTGATCACC